AGCTCTTGAAATTGACAGCTGGCTGGAGGACATATCATTTGGTCCGATTTGATAGGACTATAGAGACACTTGTCCATTTGTGATTGTGCATTTATGTTATAGAGTGGAGGTTCTTCCCTCATAATTTTTGGCAGAACATGTTCACCACCTGCAGACACACAGTTTAACAAGTGTCATTTTGGTCTTTAAAAGAATTTATATAAGCAGCAGCTTACCTCCTGGCAGTGACGTCTGTTTTAATAAGTAAAGGTCATAGCTTGCACCAGCTAAAATGCTAAGCTAACTGAATATTTTTTACATTGCCCTTTATTGATGTGAAATACAAAGTTATATAATTTAAACAATATGCAGTATAGTATATACAGTAAAATGATGCACCATTGAGCCGGTGGTCATAATTTAATTCAATTCAATTTATCCATCCATCCATTATCTATACGCCGCTTAATCCTCACTGGGGTCATGGGGGGAGCCTATCCCAGTCGAGGCAGGGGACACCCTGGACAGGTCACCAGTATGTTACAGGGCTATACAGAGAGACAGATAACTAAGCACACCCACATTCACACGTACGGACAATTTAAAATCACCAATAAGCCTCAGCAAGTTTTTGGACGGTGGGAGGAAGCCGGAGAACCCGGAGAGAACCCATGCTGCATGGGGAGAACATGCAAACTCCACGCAGAAAGATCCCGGGCTGTGATTTAAACTCAAGACCTTCTAGCTGTAAGGCGACAGTGCTAACCACTGACCCACAGTGCTGCCCCAATTCAATTCAGTTACATTTTATTTTTTTAAATATAGCACTAATTCACAGCATATGTCATCTCTCCCAGCGACTGCAGCTCAAAGACGTGTAGCTCCAGATCCAGAAACACCAACAGAGGGAACAAACACAGGACCTCAGGGTAAACACAGAGTTAGTGATATGTAATGGTGGTATATAACAGTATGGAAGAGAGAGAGCAGAGAATAGAGGAGAGGAGCCCAGTGCATCATGGGAGTTCCCTGGCACTCTAAACCTATAGCAGCATCACGAAGGGATGGTTCAGGTGATCCTGAGCAGCTCTAACTATAAGCTTTGTCAAAGAGGAAAGTTTTAAGCCTAACCTTGAAGTAGAGAGGGTGTCTGCCTCACGAACTGAACAACTCTACAATAATGGCAGGCTGTGTTGGACAAAACACTGTAGAATACACACACCAATCCATTTATCTCAGGTCAACTCTGATTCTAATACTTAGGACTGAAAACATGTCACTGAATGTGACAATGGAATCACATTTTACTTGGCTGTAATGCTACATTCAGTTACTACTATCCCAGATTAACTTTCTCCTGTTTTTTTACCTCCATTAAAACAGGTTCAGCTCAACACAGCAAATGGTGTCGTACATGGGCACAGCTACATGGCAACATAACAGCCATGACAGATCACTTTATCGTTTAAGTCTCCCAGTAGCCAGCTCTTTTTAATACCGTCCGTATAAACTGCACCCAGATATTGGCATTTCACTCACAGTCTGCTGTCAGATGGCAACATGTCCTAATAAAGAAATCGTTAAAGTCCATTAAAATGTGCAGGTGCTAGCACTGGTGCGCACAAGGCCTATAGCCCAGGACATTAGGTAATTACACTATTTACGTAATTGAAAACTCAGTAGATGGTTTGCCACATCTTCAATCACTGGATTTCATGACTTCATCATCCGATGAGCCATAACATTCTGATCACTCACTGTTGTTGTAAATAACACAAATTATTGCTTAACAACGGCATACATTGAGGTTGGGGATAGATTAAAAGGGAAGCGAACCGGTGCATAGTCAATGTATTGGAAGTGGGAGACACAAGAAGGTGTGAACCAGTGACAGGGTGTTTGGTCTGTGGGTGCTCTAACTCACCACTTATGTGCAATTTACTACTGGCTTGGTGTCAGATACAACAGAGCACTTTCAGAGGTCTTGTAGAACCCATGTCTTAGTGGAGCAGAGCTGTTTGGGGGTGATCATAATGTTTTGGCTCATTGGTGTATCTTCTTCTACACAGATCAAGGCAGCAGAGTGTTGAGATGAAGCTAGTCTGCCTTGTCTGCTGACACATCTAGTAGCAAATACAGTTGGCTGACAACACAGTGACTCTTTTCAAATGCAGGACTGGCATGTTGAAAATGTACTTAAATTGTCACTTCATAGTTCAAAATGAATTAACACAGCAGAACTGTCTTAGTGTTGTTTCATAGTAGTCAAAAATACTTTTGACAGCACACTATCAGCTGATTCACTTATTATTTAAAAAAAAAAAAAAAAATCCTGCATTTTATTTGTGGGCTTTATGTAAAAATGGCTTTCTTTGTTACAGTAAAATCAGTGGTGTGAACCTTATTACCCTGAGCCATGTCCAAAGTGTGCTGGAATGACAACTGGCCAGTGAGAAACTGAGAATGCAGTTTTGTTTCAGAATAAACTGGCCATTTCATTGAAAGTCTACCACTTACTGCAACAGTTTGACTCTTTAATGTGTTTTGAACTGATGACTGACATGTGGAAGTCTGTGGCACAGCTCCTTTTTAATATCTCTGGACATGAGATAAACATGAACTTTCTAGACTAACTCAGGTTCACTGATCCTCACAAATGCATCTCCACATGGTGTAAAAAATGCATATACATCTGTAAATGTGTGTGTCTGTAGGGTTATTGAACCAACTGTGCAATGTTTGCTGTCAGTGTGCAGATAGTTGGGCATTCCCTGCTGCCTCTATCTCCCCTCCACTGCTCCTGCTGTTGTTGCTGCTAGTTGTGGTCCTTAGGGAGCCTGGCTAGTTCTGACTAATCCCCAGCATGACTGACAGACAACTGAGCGCTGCTCTGCCCAGCCTGTTAGCCTGCAGCCTCCATAGCCATGGTCTGCTCAGAGTTTGCCACAAATAGACTTGGGGATTGGATAAAGTTGGAAAAATTATTTGAGCGGAGCGAAATAAGTTGAAATACAGTGGCGTGATTGCACCAATTTCTCTACTTTAGTCTTTATATATCAATGTATGTAGACTAAAGTAAGAGTTTATACTTATTTCTTTGTGCTTGGCACGAAAATCCTACAAGTGTCTTAGAACTGTATGCACAGTAAACCTATAGTATTCTGGGTACAGAGATAAAGAAACTGGAGGAAACCATCTTGACTACTTTCCCTACATATAGTAATTTCTCTTTTCCTTTGTCAGTGTTTTGACATGTGCCAAATGTACATTTGGGATTTATGCCTCTTTGTCTCACTTACTATACAGATGATGAAGACGGCTTACATCTGGATAGATGATGCTTTTTCCTGTGGTAGCTGTAGTCCTCTCACTCGTTCCATATCCCACCTAATCCTGTTTAACTGCAATCTCAGCTTTCAACAGTGTCATTTGTGTGAAATTTAAGCTGCCAGCTGACCAGCTGTAGTTTGACATCTTCAACTGTGTCGAAGCAAATGTCTCACACAGTCTGTCACTATATATTATACACCATACATTCAGTGCCTCCATCTGCTCTTGCTGGCCTACTGTGTGTCACAACAATGAAATGGGTTAGCCTGTACTGAAACAGCAAGCTCTGGTGTGGCAGAGAGATGCTTTGGCTACAAACACTAATGGTGAAGGTATTAACAATACCCATGTTGATCAGTATTTCTTAACTACAGGTTGTGCCTAGGTTTCTTAAGATACAGTAAATGTGAGGAGTTGTGACATGATTATTAGGAGAGGGAAAAGCACACAAGTTCTGATAAACAAATCTATTTTCTAAGTTAGACACCTGGAATTTGAAAAGAAGCCGCAAGTACAGGACTTTTTCTTCTTTTTTCCACCGCCCACAAGAAACTTAAAATGTAAATTTTGTCTGTCTACATAGCAAACTGGATGCTCATGTTGTGAGTTTGTGCTGTACCCCACATCCTCTGTGTATTTATGTAAAGCAGTTGCACACAGATATGATACTGGATTTAACTTAACTCTGCTTCATTGTTGGTGAGGAAGGGGTATTCAAAGTATTAATATATCCATATTATTGTTATTATTAATAGTATTTGTTAGATTGTGGTCTAAATCCTTCAGAGTAACAGCATCCATTCCACAAGACAATTTGTGTATTACCACAACAATTTGAAGCAATACAACAGACACCCAGATGCCACCACTGTGTTGTGGCTGTCATTAAGAACATATATATTTATAAATTTTATAGTGCTCCATGTCTTTTATTCAGAAAAATGATTGAAAATTCTTGTTTTTATCATTATTGAAGGCCACAGTGCTCATATTTGTCATTACAACAATTGTGTTTACAGAACAGTCATTTAATATTGTCAGTTCTGCAGCCAAACATAGGAACTACCAAAGTGCATATTAAATTAACCCAAAGACACCAGCCTGTTTTGTTGTAGTTCATGAGAAGATTAAATTGTTCCTCTTCATTACAGGTGTTGAATAAACCTATCTGATTTGTGCAGTTCTGACATAGGACCACAGCAAACTGATGTAAAGCAAACTGACGTGACTTTTCCACATTAGACGTGAGTGATGTGGCAGTCTGTTGAGTCTAACTGTTGTGATGAGCAGAGCTCTTGAGTCACACCGCTCACTCATCAGTTGTTCTGATGGGTCTGTTCCCTTGGGCAGAAAGGGCAGGTGGTGGGGCAGGTGGAGACCATTTTGTACCCAGGAGGCTGTCAGCTATCACTAGTATTCCACCGGCATACAGCCGGGGTCTTCAGGACCCAGCAGCACCTTTTTCTAAGGTCTGTGTCACTCATTTACTCTGTTGTCACTCACACTGAACGTAGCATCTGGGTACAGCAGCCTTACATTCTAAAACAGGGAGAGTTGTCAACCAGAACCAACCAGAACAACAGATGTCCTCTGGTCACATGGAGACAACATCCCTTGATTAAACCTAATAACAGTGCCACTGACTGATATTTTTACAGGATTTAGTTTTAAATCTTTTTATTTTTTCTCAGTCTGATAGACCGGATGCTTCAGAGGGACCCCAAGCGGCGAGCCTCCCTGGAGGAGATTGAGAGCCACGCCTGGCTGCAGGGGGTCGACCCGTCCCCAGCCACCAAGTACAACACTCCCCTCGTCTCCCACAAGAACCTGTCAGAGGAGGAGCACAACAGTATCATCCAGCGCATGGTGCTGGGAGACATCGCGGACCGAGAGGCCATAGTCGAGTAAGTTGCTTTTTGTTTTGTCCCTCTTGTGTCCAAACTACATGCGTATTTCTCTTCAACTCTGTTTATATGAGCACCTCAAAAGGGTGCACATTAGCACACACAAACTCTGACTCCAACATATCCAGGCTGCTAGCAAAAACAAGCACCACTGATAACATGTTTCAGTTGTTGTTCCATGAGTTTGAATCATATCAAAGACCATAAAACTGCACAGTGTTTTACTGGATGCGATTAAGAACTAAAAGGTATTTAGCAGTAATGTGTCATGCATCTTGCCCAGCTGGAGCTGTGCCCATGGAGGTAACCTAGGACTGTGCTCTTGCATACATGTTTGCTGCAAACTAAGTGGCAAAATTGGATGTGTGACCAACTTCTGTGGCTTTTCTTGTTTTATTTATTTTATCGTTTTTATTTATTGGTTTTATTTTATTTATTTCTCTGCCCTTGTTGTGCTGTGCATCTTTTCACACAGCGCACGTCTCAGTCTGCAGAAAGCCTTATATGCGCCATGCAAGTTTATTCTTCTGTCAAATTTGTGTAGCATATTAAGAAGTAATCAGCAAAAGTATAAAGTTAAACACAATATTTTTTTAAGATACAAGGAGCTGTAAATGATATTCTAATTGTGTCCTACAATGTTTGGCAAAGTAAGACCTTTCCAGATGGGAGTCTTTGAAATCCACAGCCCCATTTTGTCTATTATGATCTCTTCTTTTATAAAATTCAAGCTTGGAAGATTTAAAACCATCCTTTTTAAGTAGGTGATTAAAGGCAATTTAGTTCCCAGTTCTTTTCTGATATAGAAACTGCCATCTATTTAAAACTAGATCTATTAGAAAACATTCCTAAGACAATACACATCAGTATCTAATCAAACATCACCATGCGATTACATTGACAGCACTGAGGCACTGATAATTACTATTATTGTACACTGTTCAAATATTTGGACAAATTATATGGATGCTTTGGTAATATTTCATGCCAGTAAAGCTCTTTGAATTGAGCTGAATGAACTGAATTGATGACAGTTATACCATTTTGCAGCTCCATAAAATGCGAGTCAACCTGTTTTCTGTTTCACTTCACGATACTACGTATTAGGAGTTACATAACACAGCACACACAGCATTAACAGAAAGCCCAAAGCATGCTGACAGATGTTTAACTTAAAGAAGCGTTGACTCTTTACCCTACAGCTACTAGAGAAACCTGGTGTGCTGCTACATGCTGAGGAACAGAAAGAGTTGCATGAGAGAACGTTAAAGAAATAAAACAGAGAACAGCTGTTGATTTCAGAGTCAGGATTTCAAGTTCACACTTGTTCTTGTCAGCCCTGTTTCACAGTTCACCTTCATCTTTCTCTGTGGAGCTGCCTGTGGTGTGATGAAGACACACACACACACACACACACACACACACACATACGTAATATACACCAAGTGGAATGTGCACAGGCTCAATTTGTACTTTAGCCTGTGTCTTCCTTTCAGAACACCAGCAGTACAAAGTAACTCATTATGTTTCTATGTACACAGCAGTGGGGATTGTTTGTGTGTGTGCTTGCATGCAGGCATGGTAGCTGAAAAAGAACTTTACTTATGTAAAAGTACTAATACAGCAATGTGTATGTTTCTGAACAAAATGTATGGAAAGTAAAAATACACATTTTGCATGAAAGTGGTGTCTGCGACTGATGTCATTGTAAATATGTTGTTAATACTGATGGTGAATGTAGTAACAATACCCATGTAGTTCAGTATGTCCTAACTAGAGATACACAAGATACAGTAAATGTGAGGGGCTGTGAGATGATTATTAGGAGAGGGAAGTTCTGATAAATAAATCTATTTTTTTAGTTTTTGGACTGTCTTTGATTCCTCTCTGAAAGTCATCTGTTTTTGTGTTAGACAGTTGTAGAAATAAATCCATGTGAATAAGTTAGACACCTGAAATTTGACAAGAAGCCACAAGTACAGGATTTTTTCTTCTCTTTTCGAACGTCCACAAGAGACTTGTAATGTAAATATGTCTGTCTACATGGCAAACTGAATGCTCATGTTGTGAGTTTGTGCTGTACCCCACATCCTCTGTGTATTTATGTTAAGCAGTTGCACACATACTTTTTTCTTTTTGACTTTTTCTACACTGTTCAGCAAAATACAACAAACAAAGCAAGTCTGATTTTCGCTGTCCACAGGTTGCCATCATGTTTCCTAGAGCACATATGTGGAATGTATCTTTGTTCACATACTGCTACTTATAGTTTGTATAGAAATACATACAAGTTAGCTGTTTTGAGTTGGACTTTGCAGCTATCTGTAGAAACCATGAACTGGCCTTAAGGGCTCACAAGTCCAAAAAGCTGGAAATTCCGCTTTAATTTTTAGCAATATGCTGTATTTTCTAAGCTTCTGTGTTTTCATGTGATTAGTCTGCAAAGTAACTAAACAGTACCTATAGCTGTGGAGTAGCTGAAATAGAGTAAAAAGTACCATTTTCTGGGATGAAGTGAAGTAGACTTTAAACGCTCTTAGTTGCGTTTTGTCACTGACAACATCCACAGAAGCTGTGATCCACTCTGCATGAGCTCAGGAGATAATAGTAGAGATAAACTGTAGCTCACAGTTTTTACAAGCTTTTCTTCCCCACTGAGCATCAGTCTTTGATGGATCTGTTGTGTCAGAGCGTGTGTGTGATGTTGTGTTCTTGCAGTTGTGCTTCACTGTACATTCTCCACTCTCCTGTCTCATACAGTAACTCTCTCATAAGCTGAAGTGTCATGCAGCAGAGACCTTGCCTTGCTATCACAAACACTGCGTACTATGACGAGCTGCAGTCTTTTCATTCAATATGATGCTCATTCAGCTACTGCACAAGGGCTTTTGATTGGCTGCCATACTTCAGTCAGTTGGTGATGCCTCCACTTGATTAAATGAAGAGGAGGCACCACATTTATTAATAAAAGCTTCTGAAAATATAGTTCAGCTCCTGTTGTCTTCTCTTGGATGCTGCTTTCTTATGCTTTCATTTTCATTTCATTTCACTTAATTCATCATGTCTCAACCTTTTACCCATGCACAGGTATAAACAAGTATATACAAAATATATATAATGTTACAAATATTTTTGCATTTTAAATAAAATACTATATATTTCAAAGGTTGGAAATGTGGAGTTAACATTCCCAGCAAATGGTATCAACGGTAAATTAAATACATGCCAATCAAAAAACAAGAAGGCTTCTTATTAAAATATCATTATATATAATGGAAGAATACAAAAATGTTATGTTCTTTTCTCTGCAGATAAAGTAAATTAAAACTTCTGTTTGAGGAGTTATGGTACGCCTCCCATTTTCAGTTTTATTATATAATTGAATTTTTGAGTATAATGTATTGTCACAACACAATACAAAACATTATGTAGTGAGTGATTTATCAGAATACAACATATTATCACACCTCTAAATAGATTTACCTGCTTATTTACACTACATTCTAAAAGTGGCTTGTGTCTTAGTCTCAGATTGAAGAAAGCTATTTCCAGGCACAAATAAATACAGTAGCAAGAGCGCATACAAAGTACACACAGCACATAAATGTTCTCACTCTCCCTGTGTATACAGCTGTTGATAACAGTCCTAGGGACTCGATTAGTTTCATTAATATACAGAGCTTAAGCTCTAATCCTACTGGTTGCATGGGGAGTCTGAGAAACGTGCTGCTCATTGTTTTCCAGACTTCACACATGAAGTCTGGGTCACTGAGGTCAGCAGGTCACGCTTCACAAGGATGTCTGACGCTGTATTTGGTAAAGATGCTTTAAAACCACCGAGGTCATACAATCAGTTAAGGCTTTTTTTTGTTTGTTTTGTTCGGGATGCTAGGGCAAATGTAGTGGTCTGATATCATGACAGACCAAATAATAAGAGTATTTCTTAGGGGACAACACCACCGTGAGAGGGAGAACAGTTTTCTTTTCTGTTTCCTCCTCAGTAATCATTTGTCATTAGTGAGATGTTTGCCTCCTTTGAATATTTATATTTCTCTCAGCTAGCCCTTGCCAGCTAATTGTTGTAGTACTTCCAAAGGTTTGTCATATTTAATTGAGTCTGCTCAGACAGTGCCCCTGTGGAATGCAGTTGTAGCGCTGTGCTCATCTAAATATTGTGGTTCGATAATAGAAACCAAAAACTTGACAACCCCATACCTTGTCTCGCACCACCTGCTAGACAGACCTGACATCTGAGGTAATGACACACAGCACCTGTCCAACACTTGTGTTTTCAACTTTATCTTCCATCTTGCCAGCTGCAGGAGCATGTTCCTCTCTGTTGAGTTGTCTTGTTTGGGTCTCTATAGGGTTTCCACTTGTATTCTCCATTCTGAGTGTGATCAGCTACCAAGCTGAGACACCAGGAATGGTCTTGCACATAAATGAATCCTTCTCCCAGGATAAATGCAGCAGAATCCTGTGTATTAGTGCTATGCTGTAATTTTGTGGAAATGCTGCTGAAATATTTCACCTTGTATTAATGTTTTTGATAAACTGAGGACCAAGGATGCATCGTATGGAGTAACATATAAAACACTCTGTATGTTTTTTAGGTGATGGTCATTCTCTGCTTTCTGTATAACACTGTACATCTTCCATTGCTTTGTGGATTGTTGTAGTAGAATCTGAGTTTGAAAAAGGCCTACGTATTTACTTTCAGTCTTCATAAATCAGGTGATTTTTCATCTTAAATTTCCATTTAAATTCTACATACAGATTCCGTTCTGACATGACACTTGTTTGGCTGCAACAATGCTGACCAACAGCTAAATTATTCTGCAACAGTTTTGTTAATCAAATTGTTGTTTTCTTAGCAAACATGCTAAATATTTGTTCATTCTAGTTCCTCAAATATAAGGATTGGCTGCATTTCTTTGCCATGTATGATGGACACATGTGGAGATACTTTTGTTGTGACTTTGTACTATATGTAGTAACTGATGTCCTGGACAACACAGAATGGCATTCAGTTTTTAAAGTCCTCTTTGTCACATTTCTCACATTTTTTTAGCCTTTCGTGCCTTTATTAGATCGTATATAGTGAAGAGAGAGACAGGAAAGTGGGAGAGAAGAATGGGCAAACATGCAGCAAAGTCTCATGAGCCACATTCGAACTCACTACCACTGCGTTGGGGACTTTAGCCCCTGTACATGGGACGCCAGCTCAACCAGGTGAGCTATAGCGGTGCCCCTTATTTCCATTTTTACATGTTCCTAATGTTCAGTTTCTTGTTTCAGAGCCCTGGAGACCAACAAATACAACCACATCACAGCCACATACTACCTGCTAGCAGAAAGGATCTTGAGGGAGAAGCAGGAGAAGGAGGTCCAGACCCGATCCTCCAGCCCCAGCAACATCAAGGCACACTTCAGGTAAAGAACACCAGCATGCCTTCAGCCCATTATGTAGAACATGATTCTGCCATGGGGGAAAAACATGCTCTGGCTTGTTTTTATTTCTTTAAACCAATCACAGTCATCTTAGGCAGGGCAAAGCGAAGGATGTGCTCCATTAAATAGTAATGAGAGAATAGTTGTGGTCAAATATTTGCATGCTGGATGACAAGTGATGTCATTAAAATGGAAAATCCACCGCAAAAAACTAGCAGGGCTGCCTTTCTGCACCATCCAAATCCTCGCCAAAGGGTGAAATTTTTATTGTGGTAGGTCGCTGCTCGGAGGTTGTTGTTGTTGTTGTTGTTAGTGTTGTTGTTTACCATTGTGAAGAAAACAGTCACACACATAAAGTGAAAGAAAGGACAAAGCTGACAGTGGCTTATACCCACATCCTACATCCGGTGAGTCAGACGACCGTGCCACAAAAACACTCTGAGCAATAAGAGCAAAACCATCAGCCTTTTGGCAGGAAATCTGATTTTTCTTTTTTTTTTTCTTTTTTAGTAAACTAGTGAAGAGTGTGAGTAACGAAATATCACTGCTTGTTGTCATAATGAGTATTTGAGTCATAGTATGAGCCCAGAAGAGGGTAATTGACCTATCTCGCTCCACTGCCTCAGACTGCAGCCTGACTGGCTCCACTTTGCAGGGCTCAGCCACAGTTACTTAAGACTGGGTTAGGTCTCCAAAGGTTTCACTTCCATTTCTGGGTTCACTGAGCCTCCACCTGCTGGACTCAGGGGAGACAGAGCGGAGGAAATAATCTGAACTATTAACAGATTGTTCACAATGTTTTGAATCTCAGCCGTAGTCTATTTTTGATTCTCATTTTCCATCGTTAATCTAACTGACTGTAATGTCTTAAATGTATTAAATTCTCCGGTGAGATATTTAGAGGATACGTAACAGATGAGGGATGCTGGATCCGTCAGTCATCATATTGGTAAAAACTAAGAAAACATATCCTTGTTTATCTCTTGGCTGTCCAAGGATTTCTGATTTGCTTCCTTGCCAACATTGTTCCACTGGTTATAAAAGGAAGAGCAACAGAGCAGAGGAACAAATAAGGAAGAGAGGAGTGAGGAGGCTTCAGCAAGACAGCTGTGGTTGTGAAACATTGGCACAACTCTGTCCACATTCCTTTTACTGTTCTGCAGAGGGTCTTCCAAGTCTGAGAACTGCTTTAAAAACATTTTCCAGCTACTGTCTTCTCATAAATGCCTACTGGGAACTGAGGTTAAAATTAGATTACATAGATTTGGGTCATACAGGTGTGACGTGAAGAATTTGAGGGATCACAGCTGACTGAAGCCATCTAACATAAGACAAAATATAAGGGGAAAACATGAGTCATCACATTTGCCAGCTTTTTGTACATAGCAACAGTGACATGCACAAACAGTGTCTGATGTCCGTATGGTGTGTACCTGAATCACTGTGTGAAATCAGATGTCACTCAGACTGCTACAATTATGACCATCTGCTCCATTACACTGCCTCAGCCCTTTCCTCTTGGTGCTGAGCTATTGTGAAATGAATCTGACCTGTTGCACAAAAGACAGTGACTAATATGTTTGAAGGAGACCTCTGTTAATTGGCTCAGATTGAGTCACATACCAGGAGCTGCTCTGCTGCCAGACACACAGGCAGCACAGTAGCACCCACATATCCTCAAAACCTAAATATCAATCAGAAGTTCCAGCTGCAGGAGCACCCTGATAGCTGATTGGTTGCAGCACATGATGTCACACCCCTCTCTTCCAGCCATCATTTCCTGTGTGGCTCTTCACAGTCAACTATCCAATGAGGTAGTAGTGCATGGACCACATCTTCAAACACATCTTCTGTTGAGCTGACACAGATGACCTGCTCATGGTTTTGTTCCAGACAAAAGATCATCTGCAACTATTTTGACAGATGATTGAATCTGTGATATTAAAGCAAAAATACTCATTTAGAAACCTTTGAAAATGCAACCTTGCTCACTGAGAGGCTGTTTTGGACATTTTTCATTTATTTTTGACATTTCATACCTTGTGGAATAACTGTATCCTGGTCCTCCAAAGTTCATGAAGCAGTCCTGATGAGGTGAGTTGATTGACAAGGTCTGGGGTTTTCCTGGTAGACACTCATTGTGTGTTACTTGTTGACATTTCATATAGCAAACAAGTAACTGTAAAAGAGCTGAACTACAGATAACTGTCGTGCTTAGTATCTACTCTTTGAGGGGTTCATACGAAATTAATTACTTGCAAGAGCGCGGCCTTGAAAGTGATTCACGTCCAGCACCAGGCTCCACGAGATCAATGAATGAATGGGACACATAAGTGGTGATTTTGCCAGGAGGATGTCCTGGCAAAATCACCACCATTCAATAAATAGGTTATAAAAGTAAAATCTGTCATTTTTCACCAAAGATCTGTCCTATCTCAAGTGATCAGACATGAACTTGTGCTGTGTACCTCTAATTCAGCTCTCTGTTCCCTGTGAACCGTCCATTTTAATATAAGCAATTGCACACTACAAGTGTTATCGTGGTTCTGTATTTGTATTTATTTGTCTCATTAAAGCAGCTCAGAGATTCCAGCTCTGAGGAGCTGCTATCAAGTCACTGCTCTGCTTTAGTTGAATGACAGCAGCAACAAGAGATAAGAGTCACTGAAAACAAGTCTGCTTTAAAGCACAGCATCAGTGATAATGGAGAGTGGGAGGCAACAGAACAGAGGTGTAACCTGCTCTGTGTGACCCGTCTGTCAGTCAGATGATTTCTGGATGCACACTGTTGTTTTTTTGCTGACTGGAAGAGAAGAAATGATAAAGGACGCAGCAATTACTTATTGTCTTGACATTTCATTGCAAACGGAAAAGTTCAGGAATGACCTAAAAACACAAATTGTTTTTACCAGCAAGCAACCTTTTCAGATGTATACACTTCAGTGTTGATGTTGTCTTAGATCTGTCTGTGTTTGTGTGCACAAGATGTGCTTCTCATGCAAATGAGATTTCAAGTCAGTGAGTGCAGTCATGTGTGTTGAGCGAACAGCGATGCCTCTCATGGGATTAATTGTTTTCTGACTCATAAGTGCTCTGTCAGGGGACCGCTCAGCCTCACTGTTTGTTTCAGCTCTTTCCCTTCAACACAAACCCTTCAGGAAAAGGTTCATCTGGCTGTACAATTGTTTGTTTTCACTCTATTCATTTTTTTTTGTTTTTCAATTCAGTTTTATTTATATAGCACCAATTCATAACAGATGTCATCTCACAGTACTTCACATAGTGAGGTGAAGACTTTACAAATTTTAACCAGAGAACAGAGAACCAACAATCCAAAGTTGGGAAGGAACTCATCAAATACATTGTTTAACTAAAAGGTAACATAATACAGATAGAAGCAGGTCCTGAAGTGCAGGAGTGGCACAACTAAATGTCTTCACCTGTCTGGAAAAGTAGTGTGCATCATTTTGAGTTATTCGGTGTGATAATAATATGAACTGATATAAATGTGTATATATAACTGGCATTTAGCATGCAGTACTATGGCAGACGTTTAGGAACTTACTAAGTTTTAGTTCTTATGCATTCCATGGTGCTATCAGGGAGACGTCACTGGTTCTGAATTCATTCTGCAGCAGGATAACAAGCCCAATCATACCGAAGATGTAGAACTAACCAATGTTTCCATGGTAATACTTTGCAGCACAAACTGACTAAAAGAAGTAAACATGGCTCATAATTTGTAGGTTTGTTGATAATATTTTGGATTGAGCCATCAGAAATGAGAGTGTGTGTATTCTTTGCTAAAATCAACCAGTAAAATAACACTGCAACTGATACATTTCCAGGAAGCTTTCTGCTGGAGTACAGGAGACTGAGGAAGTCATGCTGTTGTTTGGTCTGCCCTGTTTTTTAGTTTGAAGAAATTTTCATAGAATTCAGAGCAAATTACTCCCACTTAAGATAGTCAAGAGCTACAAGCTTTGTGTACCAGTTACATTTAAATGTGTAACTAAAGTTGAAGCAACAGATGGTATAGCCTCCAGAAACACCCTGATCTCAACATAATGGTCTGGGATTATGTGAAGAGGCAGGAAACACTGAGACAGCCTAAGTTCACACAAGATATGTGCGGGTGTACTAAGAAGTACAGTATGTTTAGGTTCAAACAACCACTGAGTCTGTCTGGACAGTAACCTGTATTGGTACCTTGATGCAGATACAGTAGATCAGTGCTGCCATAAATAACTGTAAAATGTCCTGTTCACTATACATGCTGGCCACATTTTTTTAAACCAAATTTCAGAGATCCTTATTTAGCAAAGTTAACCTTTTATGTTTATGTGAAAAAAAATGGAACTAAGCTTAAACTTTGAAATGTTGATAGGTCCTAAAAATCCAAATACTTTTACAGTATACAACAGAAGTAAGTGCAAATCAGTGCAATCTCACTTTATTGTGAAATGGTTCAAAACAGTAAGATATTACAATAACTTCATCACTTCTATATGGTAGAACAGTAGAGTGCAGTGTTTTCAATTTAAGTTTACATTTACTTTATAAACATACAGGCCCCACTTTAGGAACAAAAGTCAATATATTTCATTGCACTGATTAAAATCTGTTTTTTAATCTTAATGTTTGATGAAAGAAGCAAATTGAGAGAAATGCTCCTTGACACAGAGACTGCCACATTTCTGAAGTGATGTTCTGCTATTAATTTTTTGAGCTGCTCATTACTTCAGGGGTTTTATTGCTCTGCCTTTCTTTTTTTTTTCTCCAAATATCCCAAAGGTGTTCTCTTGGATTGGATTCTAATTTATCCCATCACTGACCCACCTCTCTCTTAATTACAAAACCAAAGCAGAACAATCAGTTCCTTGGTACCTTTTAAGCCGCCCGGGTTTAAAATGAACAGGAATTGAAACTATGCTTGTCCATATGACGTCCTGTGGTTTGTACAGATAAAACAAGTATTTAAATTGATTGGTCATTTCACAGATTGATTGAATGAACATGTAGCTGACTAAACACATCAAAAGTCATCTCGAAAGACCTGGATGCTAAGGAGTTAATTTAATCGAGTAAAATGATGTGCAGTTACTGTGAAATCAGAGGTTGGAAACGCATGGCTTTGATTATATTGTAAATAGAGACATTTTCAGTTTCAGTATTGGATGTACTCTATATGTGGTTACATAATGAATGGTGATAATTGTTCTATGTACTGACACACTTTGTAGAATATTCTCTGTGTAATTCAGAGGAATGCTCCTGTTATTGTACAAATAGAATAATGTTATATCCAACATTAGTCCAAATGTAGTGTTATTCAGCTTTTACACTGGCTGACATTCACAGCTCTGATGCCCTGCGTGCTGACTAAGCAACTTTACAAACTCTGTTCTTCCTTTCTTCCAGGTTCGAGCAGACTCTTTAATCGGTGCATTATTCATTATGTCACTGAATAAAGGAGCTGTGGTTTAGCGAACAATGACGAGATACACAGTGTGGCGTCTGTGCAGCAACGCTATTAGATGATGACAAACAGTGAATAAAGCACTGCACGGACATAAATGACCTGCAATCAGGCTGATTAGAAGAGTCCTGATTTCCATTAGGGAATACTGACTGACTAAATGTCAGTCATTAAGTTACACCTGCAGTTAATTTTAATCTCTCTTTCTTACAAAATACATTAAATATGGTTCATGAGCCCTCTGTATAGTTGCATAGTAGTTGATCGAAGTTCTGCTTTTAATGTAGGTGAGCACTAAATTCTTGTAGGTTCATGTTGGACTGTGTGGAACTGGTTTTAACTGGTTTGCCTCTTATCTTACTGGCAGAGAGTTCTCCTAAGCTACTGATGATCATTTCTCCAGGCACAAATAACTAGTAAGGCTGGATTTTAGGGTCTTTCCTTTTAAATGTGTATGTTATGTCTTCCTTTGTCATTGGGAGACTTTGCATCTCTTTCCACATCAAAGCTGAAGACACAGCCTTGTGTGGTTCTCCTGATGACACAGGACCAATTGATGCTCTTTCTAGCAGTTTGGATATCGGTATCTGTTAGTCACAAAAACTTTGACGGCTCAACCAAGAAAGCCTGCCATTGGAACGGACATTTCAGCTGAGGTTCAGCTGTGGCTGTCTTTACTGAGAGTTTAATATCAATGCATTAATTGAGAACGGCAAACACCCGTGTCATAGATGTCCAGTTAAATTATCCCCGACTAATAAATCATTATCCAATACTTTCTTTGGCCATATAATAACATTTACGTCTTTCATTGGAACAGCGTATTTCTACAGCATCTTTAAGTTTTGGTGTGTCTTTGAAGTTGTCCCTCCCGCTGTTCTCTGCTCCAGTCCACATTGTCTATATTTGTCTGAAAAATCTGCTCTGTATAATATTTAGAGAAGTTTTTTACTGGCTGATTACTGTGCAAGCCACAGTTAAATTAAACTCAGAAGTCAGTTGCCTCAGTCTTATTTTATCTCTGTCCTAACCCTGCAGGCAGTCTTGGCCCACCAGAGTGGACATGCACCAGGACATCGAGGACAGTTTGGCAGCTTCGTCCATCTCCCATGCTGGAGGCCCTCAGTCCCCCGCTCGCAGTGCAGAAAACCTGCTAAACGGACATCGCTCCAAAGGCCTGATGGAGCTGGGCCGTCGGGAAGAAACCACGGTGACCGACTCTCCGGGACCAACAGCACAGGTCTGCTCATCTTCATCACATTTATCAGAACACATGGTGAAATTGTTCGATGGAAGATGTTTGACCATCTGACAAACACTTTGGTTCAGGCATACTCTCGCCTTTACACACAAATAATGGAGACATACAGTCAACTTCCTACTTTGAGCTGCAAAAGGTATAACATAACACCTCAGAATGAAATGATGTTTCTCCTAAGAGACTCACACATCTGATGGGTTGATTTTGTCATCACTCTTTTTAAAAGTCAGTATCGGTGCTTTCACAGCACAGCTGCTGCTAACAAACATTCATCCATCCATTATCTATACACCGCTTAATCCTCACTAGGGTCGTGGGGGGCTGGAGTCTATCCCAGCTGACTTAGGGCGAAGGCAGGGGACACCCTGGACAGGTCACCAGTCTATCACAGGGCTACACTTAGAGACAGACAACCAAGCACACTCACATTCACACCTACGGACAATTTAGAATCACCAATTAACCTCAACATGTTTTTGGACTGTGTGGGAGGAAGCCGGAGAACCCAGAGAGAACCCACGCTGCACGGGGAGAACATGCAAACTCCACGTAGAAAGATCCCGGGTGTTCTCACCGGGACGCAAACCAGCGACCTTCTTGCTGCGAGGCAACAGTGCTACCAACTGCGCCACCTTGCAGCCTGCTAACAAACATGTATTTTGGTTTATAGCAGAACCGTGTGTAAATAAGAGTGACTATTTTATGAGTTCAGTTGTGTTGAACCAGACAGTGTGGAGGTGATTGTCTGTCTGACAATAAGACGATGTGAGAATACAGATGACTGCCCTCACTACTGGATGCTTCCCTCCTGTGTTAATGCACTGTGTAATTCATCTGGCTGCTCTTTCCTTGTGTTCTTGTTCCAGGGAGCCTGTGCTGCCGCCTCAGGTCCTGCTCCTGGCTCTGGTTCTGGGACTATCCGGGCCCCCACTCCTTCCACCTCAACAGCAGCCAAGCAGCGAACCTGCCTATTCAGGTCTGATAGATTTATGGTCCAAACAGTACTATTTTGGTCATCTTGAACAATAAGACATGAGACAGTTTTCTGGTTCCAACTTCCCAAATGTAAAGAAAAGCCTTTTTTCCTCTTTGAAATGTCACATGAAACTGAATGTTTGGGGTTTTTCTGTTACGCAGACAAAATGAAAGATTTGAAGAGATCACCTTAGGTGCTTAGAAGCTGTGGTGGTCACATTTCAGGGTTGTCTGACACTGTATCGACCAAAATATCAATAGATTTATTAAGATGATAGCAGAATAATAATTAAAAATGAATGTAATCATCAGTTGCTGCTCTGCTTGGAATCAGAGTTCTCTGTTGTTGCTTTGTGATCTCGCGCTGATCTGATAAATAGAGTGAAATCCTTCATGTCTGATTGTTTGTCAGGGTGGAGGAGGATGAAGAGGAGGAGGAAGAGCAGGACCCGTCTCCCCTCCCGACCCAGGTGATCCTGCGGCGCAAGCCCCCCTCCATCACCAACCGCCTCACCTCCAGGAAGAGCGCCCCGGTCCTCAACCAGATCTTCGAAGAGGAGGGGGAGTCGGACGACGACTTCGACATGGATGAAGGCCTGCCGCCAAAACTCAGCCGCCTCAAGATGAACATGGCTGGAAACGCGGGCAACCTGAGCTCCGGGGCTGGATCCTCGTCATCGCCAGGGTCCACGCAGAAGCGCTACCACCGACGCAAGAGCCAGGGAAGGGGGTCGTCATGTTCCAGCTCTGAGACCAGCGACGACGACTCAGAGAGCCACCGGAGGCGTCTGGATAAAGACTCGGGCTTCAGCTATGGCTGGAACAGGAGGGACAGCAGCGAGGGACCCCCAGGCAGTGAGGGGGGGAACGGGGGAGGCAGCAGCTCAGGGCAGGGGAAACCCCCAGCAGAGGGAGGAGGCTCCTCTGGTCCAGACAGAGGGAGTCCTCCTGGAGCGGGAGGTAACGGAGGAGGAGAGGGTGGTGGCGGCGGAGGGGGGAGTGGGGGAGGAGGAGGGGGTAGTAAAGGACAAGACAACCCCTCCAGTTGTTGTAACAACAGTAGCACTACCAACCCGTCCCTCGGCTCTCTGTCCCGGTCCTCCCGCACGGCGAGCCGCAGCACCGAGCTGGTGGAGAGTCTGAAGCTGATGAGCCTGTGCCTCAGCTCGCAGCTGCAGCAGCACCGTGGGGGGCGTGGCAGCCGGGGAGGGGGCGGAGGGGGCGGGGGGAAGTTCATCATAGACCCTGGCAGCCTCTCAGGAGGGAGCGTAAAAATCCAGGAGAAATCGGCCTGGAGGATGTGCATCGGCTCCACCGGGAGCCTGGACACCATCACCCTCCCCACCACCGCCACCGGCCTGACTCGCACCCACACCGCGCAGCACCACCACCGCAAAACTGCACCGCACGGGGCCCCGGGCCTGCACGCAGGGCCGGGCAGCAGGGACGCTCACAGCAACCTGAGTGCACTGAAAAACGGCGTGCTCCAACTACCTCTGTGTGAGAAGACCATCTCGGTGAACATCCAGCGGGGCGGGGGCTCCAGGGATGGCCTGCTCTGTACCTCAGCTCCAGCCAGCTGCTGCCAGGTCATCTGAAGCTCTCGGAGCCCACCTCCACCACCTCCACACAGCTCTCACACTTCTCCATCTTTTCTCTCAAGCTTGTGTATGATTCTCTCCATTATTCATTTGAACTCTACTCCGTTTTTTGTTTTTTTTTCCACCTCTTTGTCTGGTGTTTGCTGTGGCAGGTGGCTGAGCTCACATCACCAGCTTCCTGTCACTGAGTTTACTCTGTGCTCTGCTTACTGGATGTATTTCTGCTGCCTATTGTTGGTTGTTTTTAACATCTATTTTCATTTTGTCTTTGTTTTTTGTTTCCCAACCGCATTTTTACATTCTTAATTAGAATCTGATGGTTTTAAAGCATATTCAAACAAGGAAGGTTTGAACTAAAGGAAAGCAGAGTCCAGACAGACGGAGTATCAGGGCCACAGCAGAGAGCATTCTGAGAAGTACGTCATGATGTAATTGAATGAGAAAGTCATGTTTTGAAAATGAAGTCATATTTTGGAAAAGATGAAGTGCACATTTAATCATAAGGATATTGTGATAATATTGTCAAACAGGTGTCTGCAGGGTTCATTACAACACAATGTAGTAGCTGGTTTACAGTAAAGTGTCAGTTCAAAGCAGTGGAGATGATTTGGCCCAGGGTTATTAACCAAGTGGATTTCGTAACATTTATATGATGTTTTTGTTTCTCATTTCCACATGTTCAAAACAATAATCCACAGCAATGTCATTAAATATTCACTAAACACAGACAGGAGCTGGTTAAGCAGCCGTGTCAACTGCTGGAAGGATCATCCAGTGAAAAAAGAATATTTATAGTCCACATGCAGGAAATCTGCAGGTCTTGACTTGACTTTAATACACTGTATTCAGTCCTTTTAGAGGCTAATAAAAATCTTGCATTTCAATCACCACAGTTAAATCTTGGGTGCTATAGGCGGTAATAAAAGGTTGCTTGGTGTTTGATTGCAGCTGTCACAAGATGTTCTCCACCTCTGAACTCAAAGTGGGACTGTTGTGATGGAGGATTGTGCTGCAGGGTGAGGTCCACACCTTTTTCACACTTAGTCATTACAGCTGCTACAGCAGCTGCGTGATCATCACACAGAAATTAAATGAACTTATGTGGGTCCAGATCGTCTAACTTGGAATTATTGGTAATTACAATAAAAAAAAAATCCCACATTTCCCCTATGGGGATCAATAAAGAATTATCTTATCTTATGGAAATGCCAATAAATTACTGCACTTCATACATAACTGTAGGTCTGTATGTTGTACTGGTTTGACCATCAGTCAGGGATTAAATCAAGTTATATGCGACGCTGCACTGAACTGAACATTATCCAGACAGTTTTAGCTGAAGGCCCATGCAGTCTTTGTGAGTGACGTTACTGATTATTGCAGACTTGAACAAGTATTAAAAGCCACTTTAAAGAAGGCTGACACGTCATTTCAGTCCTGCGGATACCCTGTGGATTTCTTCCAACATTAAAACTGAAATAAGTACAGCTTTTTTTTATTAAGAATTCAAACTTAGTTTTGTAATCACCTCTTCTAAGATTAGAACTTATTTATTACCTTTTACTTTAGAAAATTGTGAGTTTATTCTTGACATTACAGTTTTTTATAAAACCTTTTTTATAAAGTTTATTTATATTTTTATCCTAACATAACTTCATTTTAACATTTTTACCCTTTTGCTTGTAAAATTACAACTTTATTTTTATGTTATTGACTTTTTTCTTAACATGACGACTTCATTCTGATCACATGACAACTTATTTCTCCAGATGTCGTGGCTGAGAGGACAAACAGAAGTGTCAGACTAGTTTCAGTGAGTGTCACAGGCAGCTGACAAGTGCATCTCCTTGTTAACCACAGTCCAACACTCCTTCAAATGACGGCCCTCCCTCACCTCTGACCTCTGGTCATCTCTGAATGTTAGCCAGCGATGAGATCACTGGGTTAGAAGGTGGATCCATTAATATGAATCCATTCAGTGCATCTTGTCTGATTGCTTCTGTCAGTGAAGAAAAGCGAAGATGTTTGAATTTTGACTCCATGTTGCACTCAGACAATCTGTTTCTGTTGTTTTTGAGAATCATTTATGGGTGAATTGAGCTCCGTGCAAACTGCTGGTCATAACCCTTTAAATCTCTTTATAGAGGCAGCACTCTTAGATTCTAAATGAGGAAGAGAAAACCTGGCGGTTTGTCAAAGCGCATGTGAGTGCAGCACTGTATTGATTCTGTAGCAAGATGGTGCTCACCATGTTTGGAAAGGTTACTGCTGACCACATATTTAAAAATGAGGTGTTATTTTTTTATTCACATGACTTTGTGTTGTTTGCTGATAGAGAACATTTGTTGTTTCCAGCTACCAATATCCAGTGGTTCCCCAAAGCTTACTGTACATGAGGGTGCAGTGTTAGTTGAGTGTGTACATACAGTGTGATGAAAAGTAAAAGTTTATTTTTTAAAACTTGTACATTTTTTGAGCAATCTGCTGTTTGAAAATGTTATTTTTTTTTCTCCTTTTTTTTAAAGTGACGGGGGTCTGCATAAGGTTCCATTGGTGAGGAATGTGTGCTCCAGTTGAATCAGTAGGAAATCTCCAGTACAGGAGAGAAACGTTGGTGACTTGCAGCTTTAAATGAGCTGGCCAAGAGATGAACAAATGCGAGGGAGGCACGGGGGAAATGGGGAAATTCTTTAAGGGCATTGGCAATAAGCTATACCGTGTGTTGCAGCTATCTGTACAGAAACATTTTTCATTAGTTTCGTTTTTTAAATTCCAAACTTGTGCAGCCTCACAGTGGCTGCTTTAGACTCAAAAGAAAAAAAAAGGAACGTTTTAAATATTTTTTTTTTCCTCTTTGGTTGTTGTCTGAGCTGTCTTTTTTTTTTTCTTTTTTTTTTAACGAAATGTAAATAGATTTGTAAATATGGTGCTCTTTCTCTTCATCTAGAACAGCGGAGTGAACCTTTTGGTGCATAGCTGTACAATAATCTAGCCTTATGATAATTACTGTAGTAATACTGTATGGGTGTCTCAGCTAAAAATAAAGCCGTGTGAGAAAAACGACACGATTCTATTCATACTGTCAGGTCTCTTTTGACTGTTGTCTTACTCAGCTGTATCCAGGTGAATGACGTGCATGTGTTTCAATGTTTGACATTCAATGACACTGAGAGAAGAGAGAATCAGGAGCAGAAATGTTACTGGACCAAAAAGCAACAGAAGAAGAAGAAAGAGGGGAGAGAAAAAAAAAAAAAAAAAAGACGAGCTGGAACTGACAGAACTATTCAGTGTATTATTCTGTAGTTGATACCTGTTGTCAGACGTTACATATAGCTATGGTAATATCCAAAAAAATAAAACGTGGAATACTGTCTCATATTTGTGGTCTCGTGAGTCTTTCTTGTTGAATGTTTTCTGAAACTGCTTTAGACAAATGATTCTCCTGTGCTGCATTTATTGTCCATGACTGAAGTAAAATGTCTTTCATTAACTGAGAAAGAGCTGCATTGGCTGCAGGGACGGCAGAGACAAATGTTTAAGTGAAAATCTGAAGAAGAGATGGATGTGTCAGTACTAGAACATTTAATGCTTTTAAAAGGTTTGAGGAGAACTGTGTTTCCTACAGATTCCAGCCTTTCAGCAGAAGATCACCAAACCAGTGTGTAAAATCTTCTAGTCCTACAAATGTATTAATCCACACACAGACTTTCACAAAGGATTTTTTTTCCTACCATGACCTGCTCCGTAGTTCATCATCGTGGTGCGGTGTGAAATTGATTCCTTAAAGGTGGAGTCAGTGATACTAATCTAATTCACTTTTTAATTCAGTCCGCTCGCTGCTGTTCTCAGTGTGCACTAAATAAAATGTTTGTACGGAGCCCTGGTTGTGTATATTGGACACAAAAAGGCTGCAAAGTCGACCAACTCTATTCCAGGTCCTGTGCATGCTCGTATGTGTTCGCAAAGACTCCACCTTTAAATTTTGGGTCACTTGGGGGCCACAGAAACGAGCTGCAAACCCAACACTATGGCTGTGCTTGTGTCAACCTGATGAATGAAAGGTCAATATTTAGTGTCCTTCACTCAGATTTATTCTCCACCAGCCAGTCGCTAACTCTGAACATTGTGGGCTACGAAACCAAAACTAGCTGAAAGATGCTAAAATGCTCCCCAGAACTGAGCTCATTCTATGTCACTACAATGTCAGTCAGGCAGTAAATAGATCTAATATTACCATAAATCGATTTGAATCACTAAATTGGTCTAGTGATGAAGATCCGGAGCCATGTGTGTCAGAGACTGGAGGCAGCGTTTGATCCAGGTCACTGAAGGTGTTGAAAGGCAGTCGGTGGTGATTAACATGCTGCATGACACCGAAGAGCTTTACTCTCTATGTTTGGCAACCTCAGCTCTCCGCCTCACTACTCAAGTAACCCAGAAGCATCCAGACCAGATGGCACGCCGCAAGTTTGTTCGGAGTTGATCATTCTATGAACTTGCCTTTTAATTTCCTCACACAAACACAGTGGACCTTCCAGCAGGAACATAGACGGGATCGCAGCAGACAGGAAGCTCAGTGTCGAGCATGTTTCAGGCCTCCAGCGCTAAAATCCAATATGTGCAAATGTAGAACAGGTACAGCTGGACACACTTTTCATTTCCTTGTTTTGGAGTTTATTTAAGCCAAGGATGGTTCCAATGTGCTGTTACAGCTTCAGTACATTTTGTAAAGTAAATACTACAGGACAGTATGAGGAGCATATAAAAACAAGATTGCATTGCATTTCAAGGCACCAGGGGTGTTAGAAGAGTGCATGGTTTTAAACTTCAAGTCATAGTCCTCTACGCTGGAAGCAACTAACTGATACTGGTTTTAAGATAATACGCCAGTCACGTCACATGCTACGATAAGACAGTACAATAAAATCAATTATGATCGCTTGTGTCTGGAAGGAAAGGAAGGCCAAATGAATTTGCATTTTATTGTGAGATTAAATCAAGCTGAACACTGACTGAAAGTTCAATATTTATAGTATTATAACTTTTTTTTAAACTTTAAAAACGATCCACCAGATTTTATGTGGTTTTCCAAGATACTGTTGTCGAGCCTTGCCGTGTCAGAAACGTCCCTATCAGTTATTAAATTAGATCATAATCACATGACTGACAGAATGTAACCTGATAGGGCAGAGGTCAGATTTGTTTCATGCAGGCTTGACGGTGTTGTCCTTGCTGCCATTAAGTGTAAATGTTGTATTTATTTATTATAATATTATAGATAAGAAATGTTACAGTTCTAGTACAGGGTGTTGAGTTCAGTACGAGACATTGTGCTGTGATCCAGCTGTCAGAAGTCTATTTATGTTGATGTCTTCACACTCCCTGAACAGAAACTCTCGAGTGGAGCTGCATGCTGAATGCAAGCTAGCAGGATTAGCCTTCAAAGCTGAAGATAATGCACAATTTATATGAATTTCCGATGTGGTAACTCACACTTAACATTTGAATCGACCTTGCTAAATTACCCATGATTCATATTTAAATGTATTTTATATTGTCTTTTTATATCAACAGGATGCAGCATTTGATGTCCTTAACTATAAGATTAACAGCCAATGAGCTCCTGCTGAATAGAGTTTACACTACATATAAATATGAAACTTTCTTTGGTTTGTTTTCTATGAAAATGTACCAAACTATCAGTTGTGTGAACTGTTCTCTTCGGTCATTATTGCATTTAACGATTAGTGTTTTGGTTTCTTTTAACATTTAAATCTTTGTGGCCTTTCTTTACTTCCATGCTTGAAGTGCTGAGGATAAAAATTCACGCAGCTTTAATACTGAGAGACTGTCAACATCAGTGGTTAAACCATCAGTTAAACCAGAAGGTGATTAGATGGAGGCTCTGGTGAAGGGTGTTGACTGTGCAAACACCATCAACCATCGTCCTGTAGGCTTAGTAATTACAACTGTTGGAGACAAACTTTCAAATGTGCATCATCCCAAACCTCAGTCCTGATTGAACCCAACCCAAAGTGACTTTAGTGGCTGAAGAGCAGAACACAAGCAGAAAAGTACTTTCATCAACAGTCTTGCATACGAAATCGGTATTTTCTACAGTATATCACGTTTACAGCATCTCTCTGTGATTTGAACACCTGGCCCATACTTCCCACCGTTTATCCCAGAAGTACACAACCCCAACCCAATACCTCATTACAGTACATGTCATTAAAGACCAACACAATACATTTGGTACGCAGCTATGCTTCTAAAGCAACCTTCTTCTATTCCACCCCTGGAATAGTGAACCATCGTTTTAGTAGAAACTCCCGCCCTTCAGTGATGCGGTGAAGATATTGCAGATTAACCGTGTATTAAAAACAGCCACACAAACGCCAAAAGTAACATAATACATACAATAGGAGGAGTGTGTGTCAATACGGGGACGTAAACAAGAGTCTTCATCAGTATCTGGGGGCCCTCCGCTCCTCCTCACTGGAAAGTCTTACTGAGCTCCACGGCTTCCAGCATTTTCTGAAACACATGAGACAGACAGCAGCACGTTTATATTCAATCAGTTCAGTACAGGAAAGTGCAACGTGTGTGTGTGTGTGTGTGTGTGTGTGTGAGAGGGATATCCCACCATCCTTTCTTAGCTGTGCACTTTATTGGAATGTAAAGCAGAAGACACACTGTTGTATGAACACTTAAGACATATTGGAACGGCAGGAAGAAAGATCCATCGAGTGCGCTGTAAATAATTTGTTTCTCAAAGCTTGTTCCCAGTAAAGCCCTGAGGACGCTGCAAAGGTCATGTAAAATCCAAAAAATGTAAACACCACTTCCCTACTGGTGCTACCTATTTTATAAGTGTCCCAGATGCAGAGTGTTTTCCCAAAATGACATTAAGGGCTGAGCAGCGAAGGGAGCAGAGGTTCTAAAATAGCATTACATGTGAGCAGGACAGTCAGTGTGCAGCAGGCTCTGGACAGTGTCCTGCAGATGAAGTCTGTCAGGGGCTGAGGACGGCAAGAGAAAGTGTTCTTTGTAGTGTTCTGCTGACAGCACGTATCTCAGAGAGGATCACAGGTTGACTGGAGCAGGACTACAGAGCGCGTCCCTATCAATGCTGGCTGGAGTTACACTGTAAGCAAAAACCTGATCCTGATATACAGATCTGATCTTCTCACAGCTGTCTAAACACCACAAGTCTGTCCGCTGGGATTTTTTCCACAAGGTTAGACAGAAGTGGAAAGATCAGGTCGTACAAAAATGTAGGATGTAAATAAAGATGCAGAGTACAGGAAGAAGTTCTGTGAACTCTGACCTCACATCTAAATCCGAATGTTAGCACCTCGTCTCTATGCTACGGAGCTCAATGGAAATATATATATATATGTACGCACACACGCTCTAAAATATACACACACGACTGCAACTCATGCACCACGTGTACTCCACTTTAGTTTCACAATCTCCTTATTGCTCATTATTTCTCTTTTTTTTCTATTTTGAAGGAATACCACTCATCACACCTCGTTATCACACAGCCTTGTGGACCACCTCACTGCCCGTACTGTATGAGCATGTGACAAATAAAAACTTAAAGTACAGAGCAGACAGTTTTTGGTTCCAGTTGGCCTCGATGCTCCTGGTCGCTCTTTAATATATTACAGTGTAGGACTTTGAAGACGTTCCTCTTCCCTCGATGCGGATCTTGGCAGAGTTACGTTTTAATCAATTAATTCTTCTGCGCTTCTGGCAAGAAGCAAAGCAGGCATATTACATCTGAGGTTGAGAAGTGTGGGATGTTATTAAAGTTTGTCCCAAAGACTGATCCACGGAGAGGCTGTGCTGAGGCAGCCGTTTAACTCCGGAGCTGATTCTTCAGGGGCAGCGGAGGGCTTCAACACATACTGACTCCCTCAGGAACATAAAGCAGCAATTACAATAAATCCTTTCAATAACAAGCACAAAGACTGGATTGTTCCTCCAGGACAGAAAGCAAAGAATTCATGTGTTTTACTGTTCTGATAGTTAACAAGCAGGATGTCTACAGCCTGGCTTTACACTCTGACTTTTATCTGCTGAATTTGCAAGTTTATCAAACATTTGCTGGCTTCAGTTTCTCAGGTTTAAGGATTTGATGCTTTTTTGTATTTTCATATGATCACAAATAGTGTTTGTTTTTTTGTTTTTTTTTAAACAGTTTTTCTTACATTTTCTATACTAAACAATAAATCAGCAATGCAAATAAACATTAATACCAGAGCTACTCATGTATCTGTATAAAGTACCCATTGCAAAGACAGAATCCTACTTGCGCTGTTATGAGAACTGATGAAAACCTATAACCTTCTCTTAGTGTGTTTTTTTTTCCTCAATAATCCCACAGCTCACTATGAATGATGTCTTACATAACGCATGATATCCTGCTCACCCTGTTGTCCCCAGAGCCACAGTCTGTTCTATATGTCCTTCTAATTGTCTGATATGTCAGTACTGATCACTGAGGAGAGGAAGCAGGGCTTTCCAGAGCCTCAACACACATGTCTGAATGGCTATCTTTATGAGGAACTTCACTGTCATTGATTGATCTTCATTTATGTCGTGCCTTAGCCAAGCATAAACCTAACCTTGCTCTAACCTTAAAATAAGTCTCTACATTTACATTATGGGACTTGGTCTGCAAAGTGTCAAATCGGAAGTCAAACATGAGCACAAAAGATGTATGTCCCCCACAGCATGAACTAAAGTTGTATACTCACAAACAAAAGCACTAAAACGAGCACAGTCATCTTCACACCAAGAGTCTATTTTTGTCTGCACATGTAACCACAAATACACACATCCACATAGCTGGATACGTCCATGCCTTCGTACCCTTAAACACACACACAGATGCCCTTCTGCATTCTTATCAAAGCTCATGCAGCCCCAGTAGATGTGGGCTTATTTAAACCTATGGGCTGTGGGGGTTACTCACTGTTATTATAGTGCTATAAATCAGGACTGTTGCAGCTGCAAACTAATGAAGTGATTGCCTGACAGGCCTGTGTGTGTGTTACAGCTCCTGACCAATTGCTGGTCATTTTCTTTACTGTGGTTGTCAAAAAAACTGAATAATGGACACAAGTATCATATGTGAGTGTAATTATTGGTCACATTGTGTTGTGCAGCCATGGAGCTGCTTTAGAACTGAGGGATGCTCTGCTCCACTCTTAATCGTCTGCGTGGTTATATGCGCATGGGACGTATTACACAGCAAAAGTGTAACGCCTCGTCAGGTCTGAGCTGTAGCTACTGAGTGTGTGAGTGAAGGGTGTGAGGACCTGTTCTGCTGAGTCTTCATCCCGGATTGCTGACTCTGACTGATGGAAGATTTGAAGCTTTATTTAAGGCTTAGCTTTCACCGCCAACCGAAGGACGGTGGGAGACTCCTGTAATTTTGTGACTTTCTTCAGTCCTCAGTCACAGTGACCTTTATCTGACCTTCAACTAGAGCTGGGGTTTTAACAAAACGTCATCTATTCTAAATCCATAATCAAATCAGGTTAGTAAGTCTGATCCTTTCCAACCCTGTGTGGAATATCATAAAGTTTTCTAACATCCTTTTTAAGGACTTATTTTATCGAGTCAAAGAATTAGTTCAGCTAACAGTTGTTGTTGGGCAAGAGTCCAGGACTGTTTGAGGGGTAGATAACAAGCTCAGCAGGAGCAAATCTGAAACATTATGGCACAACAGCTGGAATATACTGGCTGTAAACCTAAGTCTTCTGCCTGATCCAAATAATGTAGTCCAGATTCACAAGGATGAGTGTAACAAGCACTAAAAATGATTTAAAGTATGAAATGTTCAAGTAGGACTCTTAGTTATGTTGTCTGTACAGTTTAACTGTCTTTTCACTAAAAAACTATCTTTGGTAGAGTTAGTGATAGAATTGGTCTTCACTCATTAAAAATAATAAGGAGAGATAAAAAGGTTTAATAAGAGCTTTAAGACTTCATAAATGGTGTCAACCGGGAACTGGAACCAACACTGGACTTTCTATAATCCAACTGTACCTTCCAAAGATCCAAATTTGCCTCCACAAAGTTAGCTTAAGCCAAGTATACTTGTCTAACCCAACTTCTCAGCTCAGTAGGCTTTACAACAGCAATCCAGAGTCTGCCCAATCACTTCATAAACTAGATAATGAATGGGAACAGCCTAAAGCTATTGCTTTAATACAAGTTGCTGTACATGAATGACACTACATGCAAGCTGCAGGTACTCTCTGGTTTTATAGGATGGGTGGGATATGATGTAACACTAAGGGCTGCTAAATCAAACCCAACAGTGGTCATTATCTTACTGTTGAATCTGCATCAGCTGGGACAACCAAGGATAACTCAAAGCCTAAATAGATTAGATAAAAAACTTTGGTGTCATTGTACTGCAGTTCAAGACAAGCAATTACATTTTAAAGGCACTCCCTGATTAAAACATGTACAAAACAAGAAGACAATCTATAAAAAGACATTCTTGATACAGATTAAAAACATTAGAACAGTTTAACGCTTAATAAATATGTAAAAGTGCAATGCTTAAACTGCGAGGTGTGGCAGCAGGAAAGGCAGATATAATTACGTAAATTGCACATATAAACACCATAAACAGTCTAATCAGCTGTTCTCCAGCAGTGTGTCAGTGAGTATTTGTGTGGGTGGACAGTGGAGAACCAACAGTAATGTGCAGCAGAAGTGCTGTGTGTATATAAAAATAAACAAAAGGATGACACTTGACATAAAACCCTGTGAATAAGAAGAGAAATCTGGACAAATTTTAGCATGCATTCACTGAGAAGGCATCAATGTGCCATGTATGTACTGTTCATGTAATGCTGTGGTCTTTCAATCTGCTGTGACTGATGTGCTCAGATGGTACTGCAGATCAAGGTGACTTGTAGCTGGAGAAGCGCAGCCAAGAAAGTCACTTATCTGTCTGATCAAGTGTCTCCTGTGGGATTGTGAGGGCCTTGCTAGTTCTGCTAACAACTTTATCCTACAGCACCTCTCAGTGTCTGAATAGTGAGAGCCAATGAGCACATTTTATCCGTCCACATTATTATTCTATGGAACAACGTAGGGGAAAGGGCACCTCGTTGCATTTTATTCTAATCAAACACTCCTGTCTAATTTTTAAATGTAATTAACAGGTAATCATAACTCACAGCATCATTAAATTATACAAGACTCTGGTTTCTCTAGTATCAAATTGATTTGCACCTCATGCATGTTAAACAGCTTCCTGGCTGTAGCCACAAAGAACTCCGTTTGACAAACTGTTGTGCATGACTAATTCTATTCATGTGCACATCAGTCTGCTTCCATATTGTTCATGATCTCAAAATGTAATGGAAACACTAAAACCAGTAACGTGCTTCACTAAATGAGTTTTTAAAAAATCCTTCTCTTGCTCTCTCTCTGGCTCTCAGTCCCAAGCCGACTGAATACATAAATATTAACAAATGGCTCACGAATATGTTGTTCCATTAAAAAAAACAAACAAAAAAGAAAGCTGCTCGATTACACAGTTATGTCATGGACGATACAATATGGCACAGTTCTAGTACCGAATTAAAGTATTAAATCCATAAAAAGTCATCAACATGTGCATGTGATTTGTTTAGAATGCTTCACTAAAAGCTGCTACAGCTTTAGCAAAAAAACGTCTGTTCTGCATTACATGTGTGGCAACACTTTTAATGGTCAAACTGCTATGAAAACCACAAAATATTAAACAACCCAAAAACAAAAATACCAAATAAAACTGCAACTGTTGGAAGTTATTTCTCATGTGGCATCCTTTAAGCAAGCAGTCGACCTGATTGTCCTCCAACAATCTGTACTGTATGTCTGTCTGCCTAACTCAATATGTTAAAGTAAAGGTTTGCCTTAAATAGCACACAACTCCCCTAATTTAGCTCCAACTGTCTTAATACTTTCCTTTCTGTCTGCATGTGTTTCTGAGTGTGAGGTCAAACACACTGATATCCACTGCAGACAGGCCGAAGGTTTGGTGCCATGCTGAAGGTTAACCTATTAATAACCGTTTCCCATCACAGCTGTAACAACAGTGGAAATGATGATCTTACTAAATTGCTAAATACTGGATCACAGAACCCAGAATGTTTAATCACAAATTCACAACAAAATCACCTGAGTTAGAACATTAGATGAGTAGTCATGATTATAAACAAGTCCATTTACTCAAAGCACAAAACCATTTAGTAATGTCATAGGACTCTCCAAACCACACACAACCTGAGCGACTTACCCTCCATGGAGTTGTCTCTGCAGAACCAAGAGACCACAGAACAACGCTGATTAAACCAAACCTCTCTGGCTGATGTATGGGGGTTTGCACATGAAATGCATCAATTAAGGATATTAAGGATGAGGTTTTATTTAATCTACAGTAAAAATCGACAAAGAACACTACAGCTCAGGACTGAAACTAAACATCAATAAAGTATCTCTGACGTATCAATGGTAAAGATCGAGAAAGCAGATCTAATTTTCTGTATAATTTGTGGCAGAGGGACCATATAATGTAAAATTCCCTTCCAGTGGATGGGGACACTGTATGTGAAATGTTAAACTCATAAATTGCCAACACAACGAGAAGCAGCGGAAGACTAACAGCAACCACGTGAAAGAAATGATGAACCAAAAGCCAAAGAGCTCATCAGAGAAGCACTCAGCCCTGTCAGTCCACATCAAACAAATGGCTGCGGTACAGAGCAAGCTAATGCCTTACTGTGGAGCCATATCAATACTATTAGCATAGGGCACACCATTTGTCTTCAACAAAGTGGTCTGGGACAGGCATCAAGAGCCCATTCTGAATGCTAAATGGGAAGCTATAGACCAGTATGTTGTTATGGTCATATGCATGAGACTTCCACTTTAGTTTGTCTGGGCTGAAATCAGTTAGGCCAGACTTTGGAGAGGGAGTTACTGCCTCACCACAGCGACTTACTAATGTATGTCTGCGTAAATCACCATTCTGACAAAACATTGAAGTCACATTATGAGGACAAAATGTCACAGAACAGAAGTGAACAGAGTTTAACATAGAAGAAGTGTACTGACAGTGAGGCTTAAATCCATATGGTCCAAAGCATTATTCTCATCACAGTGGATGTAAATCTACCACAGAAGCTCAGTCTACTACATTTTGGTTGTCATAATTTTATATCTTTAATGGATGAGGGGAAAAATAGTTATTTTTAAAAAACTGCTGCTGTTGGTACAATTTGTTGATTTAATCTCAATTGCAGGCATGCCAAGGGTGATGGTGGTAGCCGTTTTTTGGATGCTTTGATAATTCTACAGTTTTTAAAGTTGAAATCAATTTCCCAGAGTAATGATGTATATTTAATTAGTTTTGTTGGCTGCCTTGCTCTTGTTTTTGCACTTGCAAGGGAAGATGCATCAAGGTCAGCTGGGTTTCTGGAGGGAATTCTGAATAGGGACAATACTTCTAAACTGATGATGGCCTGTAGGGCTGGACTGATGGAGCAGTTATTAATTAAAGAGTTAGCCAAATCACTGCATGTGTGCGTGATATAGTCCTGCATCTACAAATGTGTTAAATTTACAGTTTATCTGGTGAAATAATGTAACTTTGACGAAACAGAAATTTTCCAGCACACACACTAAAGCTTGGATTTTGGGTCATTAGGCAGTTATGACTGGATGACAATGCTGATGAAGCAGGCAGGCATGGACACACACACACACACACACACACACACACACACACACTGAAAATACTTGTGTGTGTTTCTAAGGTGTGCATCAGCTTGATCAGTGGTGCGGCTCACACCCCTTCCAGTGAACCTACTGAGACATGATGCTGCTTGTTTAATGGCGTTAGACGTGCTCGAGTGCAGGCCATCACAGGCTAACACTGTCAGAGCTAAATGACAGGACGACATTACAACGCTGTCTCTGCAGCCTGTCCTTTCTGTCTGGGCTGAGGGTTTTCAAGTAGCACATTTAGTGATGGAAACCTATTTAACTTTAATCATGACTAATAACATCTGAGCGTCATTGTTTTATTTTCCTTAACAGTTCTTTGTATTTCTTGCTGATGTAGTTTACAGCAAACTCTGATAAGCACTGCTTTTACTAATATAAAGGAGGGGGGCTGCCAATTACAAACCTGAAAGCAAAAAGACAGCTGCTGTGTGAGAAATAATTGATTTGATGGAAGCATTTGCAATACTGCAATGTTTTTTCCTCCACTGTTTGTAGCCATTTTGGTGTGATAATAACTCCCCCACATTGGTCAACAGCCAGCATGTCCTCGATTTTCATGATTCTTCATACTTGGGCGTAAGTGACTAGATGCATACATGCCTCAGGATTGCTAATGCAGTTTTAACTTGCTGAGGGACACTGAAGCAGGAAAGAACTGTAGAATGACAAAAATGTTGAATATTTCCTCCATCTATACAAAGGAGTCAGATTTTACCTTTTTCTTGAGAGCCTCCAGTGATTCAAACTCCAGGCGTGACAGTTTGATCTGGATGTGTTTGGGAACATCTGGGATGAGGAAGGTCAGGATGAACTTGAAGGCCAGCAGTCCATGCTGAAATAACACAATGACAATACACAGATATTAAAATAGTTTGGAGTTAGCTGTTTGAGGTTTTATGTGCATGCTTCTTTTCTAAATGAAAGAAGGAAAACATGCATCAACATAACTTGATTACATTTTTACAGAATGGTGTCCTTCATGGGACACTGCTGTAAAACGAGAGAGGACAAGAAGAGAAAGGGAGTGAGTGCGTCTGGGCCAGACAGACAGCCTCTGTGCACGTCCTTGAAGCTGAATGAGGACAAATAATGAAGTCCTAAACATTGCAATGATTGCTTCTTTTCACACATGCATAAGATATTCATTTAAACAACAAAATATGCACGTCTGCACATGTCTGGATTGTATATTTAGATATATTGTGTGTGTGAGTAGCACACAAGGGTACATAGAGACAAGTAAACTGAATATGACCTCTTACCCAGAATACTGTGCTCCTAAATGCTTTCACTTGTTCCTCTCAGATTCAGTTTCTTCCACCAGACCTTTGGTTATCAGATACAGTGAGCTGCACACATCTGAATCAGCAGAGTGCAGGTTTTCCCACTAAGATGACAGTGCACATTCCCTCACATGAATGTGCACTGTCATATGTGTGAGCCCACTAAGAACCAGTTTAAAAAGTGTGCCCCACACACACACACACACAAACACACACACACCTGTGCCAGTCCGTCTGGAGACCTGCCAACTGCCATCAGCTCCTTTGATTCAGTACCCTTTCCCTCATCACAGTAATGGACTCATGTATGCTACAGTAGATGGAACAAATGGTGTGAGAGTGAGAGCAGATAAGAGGGCACACTGCTGTGCACAAATGGGTTTCGGGCTTATCACACTGAGTGATTTGGGTAAGATGAATGAAAATGAGCTTTTGGTGGTAACATGTTTATTCTAATATTCTCCCTAACATTACACCAATCATTCATACCAACGTTAACATTAGCTTTCGCCAAGTATGTTCACCAAGTAGAATAAAACGATCAATCTGCCTGGTCAGACATCATAATTTCATTTTTTATTTTTATTAAACTGAGGTTACCCAACAGTTCAGTGATGTTTGTATTTAGCCAAGATGTTCATTAGACATATTATTTATGCACAGCTAAGACTAGATGAGGTTTTAACAGCTGCTAAAAAGAACTGGCAACTCTGAGTCCTGCTAATTAAGATCAGTCCTAAGCAAAGGCAGCATTTCTGGCTGAAAGAAGTATAGAGGAAGAATTTCTGTCATTCCATGCAGCAGAGCAGCTTCACTAATCAGCAAGCAGAACGAGCTAAGAAAGCCCTGATCTTAGTGACTTGTCAGATTGATTGAAAGTGCACAATAAACACTCCAGCTCTTAGTTGATTGTTAATGCTATTCAAGGCTAATTTATATTTCTGAGTGTTTCGCAGGACAAGGTTAGGCGAAAGACAGAGGAAGGACTGAAAAGAGAAACTGACTTGGGGAATTTGGTTTTGTCCGACATAATAGATGTGATCAAACTTCAAACGTTCTGTATAAAAGCTATTTGTATTGTTGTTGCTCCACCAACTACGTTAAGCTGGCGGTGGAACTTAAACTGACTGATCTTCACTTATATGATACATCATTTCTCCTCAGCTGCACTCACAGAGGGCTTCTAATTAGAGCAAAATGAGTGTCTAATATATTTAATGGTGATATAATATATCAAAATAATTACAATGTTTGGTTTTCAAACAATGTGAAAAATGCCTGATTTGCAAAATGGAGATTTGAGTTCCTTTTAATGTCTCTCAAACACCAGCGCTAGCAGTGAGAAAAAGTTGTCTGGAGTCACATCAATATAGTAAGTTGTTGTCAATTCCTTGCAGACATCAGAGGTTTGAGCTACAAAGTCAGATTGATGGACTAGCAAGGCATGTGGCGCCCAAAGCCACAGTTTACAATGTCATGAAGATGACTCTCATAACCTGGGTAGATCACTGCAGTAACTTATGCTGCACACCTGAGCAGCTCCGGAGGATGTTATGTTCAGTTAGAGATGAGCTGCAAGTGCACTCTCCTGACCATATTCTCTATGAGCGATATAGATTCTCTGATGAGGGGATACATTACACTTGCAAACCTGCCAAAGCTGCAAGCTGTGCAGTTACAGCAGCGCACACTGTGTGCATTCAGCTAGTGATGCAAAAAATGCATAGCTATGCTTTTATGCTTGATCCTGATTTGCAGCCAAATCCCAGAGAAAATTTAATCAGTAATATTAATTCCACTTTGATTGGGCCAGAAACTAAAGTTATTTCCATGCATCTTTCATTACAACACAGTATGTGATCAAAATACACTTCTTGAGTATCAATAAATGTGTGAAGTTAAAGTGCAGCTACCATGGAAGACATAAGCTATCGAAATAAAAGTGCACTGAGTAGAAAAAGTAATAAATTATCTTACGCAATTATTAGTTTTCTACTAGTGATAGTGGTGTTTATTAAAATAAATGTTTAAATTCCTCATAGCTCTCCATTGTAACAACTTGCTCCTCTTGACTGAACAAGGTGCATCATATCCATTTTGTGCAAAAGGATCAAATGACACCCCTTCTATGCCAGTGTGCACAGAGCTTGGTAAAGAAGGCCTGGGTTAACAATGAGGGTTAATACCCATCATTGTGATACCTGTTTTCTCTGATTGGAGGCTTGGTTTTGTCGAGCCAGCTAACACAAAGAAGGCCTAGCCAGGTCAAACGTGTTTGGCAGTTCACCCCTCCTATTGGTCCTATGTTGAAAAGACCACTGTGTTGTATGAAACGGCCACAAGAAAAATTGGTTCCAGTATCTGAGAGATAAGCACACAATGAAAAAGAGCAACGTTTTGTCTCTTTAAGATCCAGATGCATTGGTACTCTATATCAGAAATGACATGAATCCACTCACACTGTCTGCTTTTATTAGGATACTAAAAATCCTTAATTTAACCCACCAAACTGCAAATACGTTTGGGAGGTATTTTGGGATTCATTGTATGACATCTGTTAATATTGCACATCAACTCCTGTTTTGGTTTTTTAAACAATCTTTAAATTATGTGAAAAGATAACAGGCTTGCTAATGGTGCTTTCCTTTTGTTAGTGGTGCACATCCAGCCCTACTTACCATGGAGAGGCATGCAACTGTAATGAAGTATTCTGGAATTGTGTTTTGTTTTGAGTTTATGCAGAGAGAGAGAAAAAATCCTGATGTGTCATAAAGGAAAAAAAACAACAAAACATTGAGGACTATGTTTTGGCCATATTGCCCAGTCTTAATCCTAAACGTTATCTTGGCCATATTGGTAATGAGAATAGTAATCAGAACAATACAGTCTGGAGACACAATGGCAGACAGCTCTTTAAGTGCAGCTACACCAGTGACAGGACTAGCACAAATCAGAGAATCACAGCACAACTGCTATTTCCACTGCTCAGTGTTCAACACTTCGTGCTGTTACCATGGCACCCCTTCGCTGTTAATTGGAAAATTAGCATTTCAATCCACCATCAATTCAACTGATGAGGAACAAAAAAAATAAATGTGTCATTTCATGTGTAATATGACATTAGCAGAATATGTCATTATAACTCATGCTCTTTTGCATGCTGTGGAGTTATTACTACACTCTTTCTGGTTACACTGCTGCTTATTAAACTCATTAGTGTACTTTGAAACCTGGCCAGATGACTTGAAAGAGGGCAGCCATGAGGACACAACAAAACACAGACCTGACTTTTGAGACACAAACACAATTTGTATAAAACACAACTCTGATCACAGCACTCTTTAAATGTTAATTTTCAATTTTTATAGACTAAAACTAAAATAAATCAGTGACTTGATATTTACAGTAAGTGCATTAAATGTACTGAGCTGTGTGTTAATACATGTCTCATTTTCAAATTAATTTATCTGAAGTATTTGCCAGCATCAAATAACTTTGACATATTACATAATAAGGTTGACGTGATGAACATGTTAGCACATGCACACACATCTAACAGATACAGAACAACATTAGCAAAAATGCCCAAGATGTTTGATACTCATAAATTTATCTCAAACGGACTTTTGAAATTTTCTGATGTTGTGCACAAAGCTAGCTTACCCAATTTGAGAAAGAGAATGATTTTGTATATCTGCTTCTGCAGAGAGTGCCAGTGAAGTAGATTGTCTTGTGTGCAGCCCAGACCACCTCCAAATGTGCTCTGAGTGATCTGATGTCAATGCGTCCTCAGTGCACCTTGGGTGCATTCGCACATGTACTTAGAACTGTCCACTTGTATTCAGCTCACCCAAGACACATGGTAAGGCCAAGTTGAACAGAGCTTAAGTCTCTCTGCTCTGATGTGGTCTCCAGAAACTACTAAGGGAAGTACATAAGACCTGTGATAGTGAATAAAGTTAGCAAAGTCATTCTGTCAAATGAAAAGGTGAAAGGTGCTCCACTCTGCAGAGCTGTCTGGCACTGAATGACACCTTTCATGATACAAATTGAACCCCCACTGTAATTACAAAACACTGATTAATGCAACTTTAATGTAGTTCTTATTCATTACGATAAAAGCACCAGAAATCCTGCCATCTTATTATGATTACATGGACTGTCTGAAAATGTCACTTAAAATCAAAAACAGAAGGTACCTTTGTGTGCTGCTGACACTAAGCCAGTAGCCCCATATCTTCAAAAAATAACATAAAATAAAATGAAAATGGTCTGCAAGGATGGTTTCCCTAAAAATAGTAATACCTGTACACTGACAGCATCCTATTATATAATGTAAGTTTAGAAGATTAAGCAGCCTGGTACACCAAGTTCCAAGCCAGTTCACTACATAGAAAGCTATGCACACAGTGAGTGCTGGGTGGACTACTCTATTGGCAAGTCCAGGCCTGATGCTGTTGCCAGTGGGCGCAAACTAATCTGATTATCTAAAAAACAGTGTAATGAGATTACTGTGTGGTAGGCTGTTGAAAATAACCTAGGAGAAAAC